ACACGTGACTTTATTCTACACCTAAGCTTTCAATAGATGGCGCCACTGATTGCATTGAATTTTTTTTAACTTTTTTTTAAACGCGACAAGCTGATTTTAATTTCCTGCTCCGCATTTTTCCGCCAACCAACGACATTGTATAAAAAACACCTAAAAATAACTTCATCATTTGATTAGTTGTGAAACATTGTCGTAACACAACAAAACCCCCTCATTTAGTTTTCCGTCAGTTCACTACCACCACCATCATATTGTCTGTCACATGTCGTAATTGGCGGCAAATCGATCAGTGATGACTTTAATCACGATTTACTGCTGAAAAAAGAGAGAAATAACAAGAACAAAAAGTACAGTCGCAGCCAGCAAAAAAGCAAGTGAAAAGACTGTCACACTGTCGCAAGAAGGGAAAGATCGCCAAAATGTTGCGGAAATTGGCCATTTAGCAGCAAGCATTCGAATGGCAGATGGCGTGGAAGAAGAACACACAGTTTACCTGAAACAACATTCAACTGTGCTAATCAAAACTAGTACTTTTCTGTTTATTTGATCACTCAAAAGTGAACCAGCTACAGTACCCAAAACCAACACCACTGATGGAAGGTAGCTTGAGCAGCTGCCAGCTGGTAATGGTTAACCTGCATCTCTCTCTCTTCTTTCATCTCATTCAAAATCACGCACTTCTCCACCAGCACAACTTTCCTCCATTTTCCTCCTTTTGTCACCCGTCTCTTCGTTCACACTGTGCATCGCTCGAATCGAAAGTCGACGAATTGCCGCCCCCTTCTCTTCTTCTTTGCGTGATCGACGCTGCCGCCGCCGATTCGCTTTCGTTCTTTAGGCAAGAGAAGGAGATGCGCGCACAAATCGCCTGTGTGGTTTCAAGGATATTTCCCGCTTTTGTTCGATCGATCGTTGTGGCACTTCTACTTCTTCTTCTTCAGCAAACAAAACACAAACAGACACAAACACGTTGATGACAGTGCTTAGCGTTTCTCGCTTTCCTCCATTCACTGCCATCCGGAGAAGAAGGAGGAGACGGAGAAGGAGGATACCGTGACCAAATGCATGGCCAGTGGTTTCGGTGAAGTGTACGACCGATGTGTACGACGACGACGACGACAAAAACGAGGGTGCCTGTTGTTGTTGCTGTTGCCTCCACTGCCAATGGCGGTGATCACCATCACCATCCTCATCGATGACTTGCTGACTTCAAGTTAAAGCGTACAGAAGATCAGAAGACTGTGTGTGTGTCTGTGTGCCTGTGCCAGTGCCTCGAAGACACTGCGAGACTCATCAGCAAACAGCAGTCAGTGTCTGTTTACCTTTCACTTCTTCGTCTTCTGTCAACCCGTTTGCACTTTTCCCTCAGAAAAAAGCGGCCACCCTCTGAGAGTGTATATGATTGCAGTACTAAAGTACTATTTGAGAAAAAGGGGAAAGGAGATACTGACTGACTGTGAAAATGGTGCTCAGCGGTGGCACTTACTTATGGTCCGAAATTGAACAGCGACTGTATCATCGATCACACTAGTTCATATTTCTCAGCAGTCGCTCTTATCGCAAAAAGCTCATATCAACTTCTGTCTCTGTCCCTGCTGTTGTTGTTGGTGATCTTGAGAAGCTGAAGAACGTACACTTCCTCTCTTCAAGTCTCTTCATGGTCAACGAACGTGATCACATCGCTCTCTCTCNCCCTGCTGTTGTTGTTGGTGATCTTGAGAAGCTGAAGAACGTACACTTCCTCTCTTAAAGTTTCTTCATGGTCAACGAACGTGATCACATCGCTCTCTCTCTCTCTCTCTCTCTCTCTCTTTCTCTCTCGCAGCCCTCAACCGCAGACAGAAGCTTCCATTGAGCGTCGTTTCAACTTTGCTCTCTTTATCGAGTATCGCTGCGGTGATAAGACTTCTATCTTAGTTGTTGTGCACTAATTCACTTGTAGTTGGGCGCTTCTCCGGTGCTGTAGTCACTCCAGTGACTAATTGTCCGTCGCAGCTGAGAGAGTGCATCATTTTTGTACGTTGCTCAGAACTAAAAACCAACAGTTTTTCTTANACTTGTAGTTGGGCGCTTCTCCGGTGCTGTAGTCACTTCAGTGACTAATTGTCCGTCGCAGCTGAGAGAGTGCATCATCTTTGTACGTTGCTCAGAACTAAAAACCAACAGTTTTTCTTTACACATTTTTTCGGCGGCTGTGATTCGCTCACACAAGAAAAGTTTTTCTTGATCTTGGATCTACCCATCAGCAGCAGTGAGTCTGAGTCTGCACTCAAGATGCCCCTCTTCCACAAGGACGGCTACAATGTGTCCATCAATGCGCCCTTTCTCAACTCCATTCCGCATCTGCAGCTGACACACGATGGACTGATTCCGCTGGTGAACACCACCTTCGACTACGGCCGTGTGTCGTACGTCAACTCGCTGATGGTCACCTTCATCACTCCGCTGCTGCTGCTGCTCTTCATCTTCGCCATCTACATCGTCTACATTCTCATCATTCGCACGATGGTGGAGGACCGGTTTCTCATCAGAGCCACACTGGTGCACAAGGGGGAGGAACCGCTGCAGGGGAAGCAGAAGAAGAAAAAGGACACTTACCTGAAGGAGAAACGTGGCTATGGACGCTGTCAGGGGGTGTATCTCTTCTTTGGAGTGGCCGCCATTGCTGGGGCAAGCTATGGCACGTGGCTGATGTGTACTGGTATGTAGCAATTTGCATGTTTCAGAATCTGTTTGCAATCTTCATTTCCTCTCTTCTTGTCTAGGCCTCAATCAGTCGGACAACCTCCTCAGCGAGTTCATCCGCGTCTCAACGCACTCTCAGCAGACAATCGGCAACTTCAGCCAACAGCTGCTGCCGAAGCCGACTCCAGTGGAGTACGAGTACGGCGACTACCTGTCCTCCTCTGGACAGTCCCAGGCAGCGGCACTGAAAGCTGCAGCACCATTATCATCATCATCATCAGCAGCAGCACCTCCTCCTCCTCCGCCCACATCTGCCTTCCAGCGGTGGCTGCCCAACACCTACCAGACGATAGCGACGTACGCCAACTNCCACCTCCTCCTCCGCCCACATCTGCCTTCCAGCGGTGGCTACCCAACACCTACCAGACGATAGCGACGTACGCCAACTACGCCAACGCCTCCACGGCCAATGTGCGCTACTTTCAGCGTCAGTTCCGCTACACGAGCATCGCCGCCGTCAGCGTCAACTTCACCAGCTGCTTCCTGCTGGTGCTCTTCTGGGCGCTCTTCCTCGCCGCCACCCTCCGCCGCCTGGACGTGAAGCACTTCCTCCTGGGCACCGTCCTCCTCCTCCTCCTCCTCACCGCCATCTTCAGCCTCAACCTGACGGGCTCCATGGCGCTGGCCGACTTCTGTCTGCACGCGAAGCCGGTCATCACCGACATCACCGTGTACAAGATCCCCAGCAACAACTTCACCACCGAGTTCGTGCACTACTACCTCTACTGCGAGCTGAACCGGCTGAACCTGCACCAGCACACCAACACCCTCACCGGCTTCCTCGACCGCTTCCTCGAGTCGTCGCTGCCCTTCTTCAACCACTCCAAGGTGCTGCAGGGCGTGGTGAGCAACGTCAAGTCGGGCATCGAGAACACCCTGGAGACGGTGCACTGCAAGGAAATTAACCGACTCATCAACGAGGGCCTGGGTCAGTTCTGCACCTCGCCCGTGGACGGTCTCACGCTGACCAGCGTCAGCTTCCTCTTCAGCACCTTTCTCCTCATCGTCTGTCTCTTCAGCGTGACCTTCACCTTGTGATGTTATGAACAATCTAACTCTCTCGTCCACTTACTTGTGATTCTACTTGCTCTCATCTTTTTCGTTTGGTCAATAAACCAGTTTCAATGATTTGCATTATTTATGTCTGGGGTGTGACAGTGGTGTGTGTGTGGGTGGGTGGGTAAAAGTGAAAGGACTATGAAGTGTTTGCGGAAGTAGAAAAGGTAAGTTTTGTGACACGTGTAGGCGAGGTGTGTGAAAAAAAGAGGTTAAAATTTGAAAAGAGTGGCAAGGTTTAGGGGGTTGTGCAGTTGTGCTGTGTGAGTGACCCAGAAAAGAGGAAAAGAGTGCAAATATATCACATTCAGAGTGTTGAACAAAAGAGGGGAGGGGGAAGATATACGAAAGGCTATTTCAAATAATAAGATAGCTGCTGCTCTAAAATGTATCACTTTTCAGTCATGCTCAACTCGAGCACCTTCTTAAGCATCTCTTCTTCCTCGGTGCGTCGCTTCGCCTCTGCTTCCGCCTCCAGTCGACTTGCCTCGATCGTCCGCTGGAGAGCTTCGTCGCTTAGCCGTGAGCTGCTCTTAACCGTCGTGGTCGCTTTGCCCTCAGCTCCATTAGTTTCCGTCGCTGCTTTACCCTTTCCACCCGCCTCTTCAGTCGCTGCCTCATCCACGGTGCCATTGGCATGATTGTGAATAGTCTTCAGTATGGACTGCGCAACCGCCGACGCTGATTGCAGCACCGATGAGGAGCCAGTTTTTTCAGCAGTACTATCAGCACTTCCATTAGCCGACTCCTGCTTGCCCGACTGCTCCTTCTGGTACTCGAGAAGGCTCAGTTGAATTGCTCTAAAAACCNTGCTCCTTCTGGTACTCGAGAAGGCTCAGTTGAATTGCTCTAAACACGAATTACAAAAAAAAGTTAACGATAAAATCATAAGGTGTATCTAGCAAGGCTTACTTCTGCAGCTGTGGATCCACCTCCGCCTGGTTCGTCCTCAGCGCATCCATAAAGGTCACCTGCTCAGTGCCGCTCTCCCCGTTGGCCACCTGTTGTCCCGGGGCGCCGTTGAANGGATTACAAAAAAAAAGTTAACGATAAAATCATAAGGTTTATCTAGCAAGGCTTACTTCTGCAGCTGTGGATCCACCTCCGCCTGGTTCGTCCTCAGCGCATCCATAAAGGTCACCTNCGATTAATTAAAAAGTTAACACAAAGTCATAAGGTGTATCTAGCAAGGCTTACTTCTGCAGTTGTGGATCCACCTCCGCCTGGTTCGTCCTCAGCGCATCCATAAAGGTCACCTGCTCAGTGCCGCTCTCCCCGTTGGCCACCTGTTGTCCCGGGGCGCCGTTGAAGTACTGCTCCCAGGCGTCCGAATAGGCAAACTGGTCCTCATCATCAAAGCCACCGCCAGCACCGGCGACACCGTTTCCTCCGCCGTCAGTGAGCCCTTCCTCGCCATCGCCGCCAATGACCACATAGTCGGCCGGTGGCTCAAAGCAGGACTCATCCACGGAGCACCGGTAGCGCGGCGGGTCAGACTCGCTGTCCTCAGGCACCGTCATCACGCCGTGCACCGCCTCAGAGGTGGCAAAGATGTTTCCAAAGGTGATGCGGGCGTTGAGCAGGTGAAAGAGTGGTATTTCTAAACGCATAAAAGGCAAACAAAAATATACCACTTTTCTTCATCTAAACACAGCTCTCCGGCTCNTTCAGGCACCGTCATCACGCCGTGCACCGCCTCAGAGGTGGCAAAGATGTTTCCAAAGGTGATGCGGGCGTTGAGCAAGTGAAAGAGTGGTATTTCTACACGAATAAAGAACAAACAAAAATATACCACTTTTCTTCATCTAAACACAGCTCTCCGGCTCACTCACCAATCTTCACTGGAAAGCCAACTGGAATCTTGGCGGCAATAAAGTCGCGCAGCTTTGCAAAGTGAGAACTGCTGATGGCCATCAGATCGACAATTGGCAGTATCTGCTCGGGCAGGCTGAGGGGAAACTCCTCCGAGAGCCACAAGTTTGCCTTGAAGTGCTGCGTTTTGATGCTCATCTCGCGTGGTAGACCAATGTCCTTCACTACTGCTGAAACCTGGCCACTCGCTGAGGTCTCCTCGGAAATGTTCTCCGGCCGACTCGGATTGAAGTAGTCCAACATGCGCAACTTCCAGGGATTCCTCTTCCACTTTTCCTCCACCTCGACGTTCTCAAAGGGATTCGGTACAATGGTTTCGATGATACCAGCCCACGACTTGAGCGAATTCAGGCGAGAGTTCTCCATCGCCTTTATGCGCTCACGGTCCTCCGTGGTTAGGTGCTCCAT